TCTGCCTTGGAGCCAGCCAAGTATGGACTGAAACTTCTACAAACCATGAGCCAAATATACCCTTCCTTCCTTCCTTCCTTGCTTCTTCCTTCCTTCCTTCCTTCCCTTTAGGTGCCATATATTTTGTTCCAGCAGTGAGAGGAAATTAGCTAACACAGCATCCATGTATCGCTAAAATATGATATTAACTCTTTCTGAAAGATAAGGGAAATATCTGGATCAAATATAATTTCTAGCTTTTTGAGGAAGCTCCATTCTGATTTCCATAGTAGTTGTATTAGTTTACATTCCCACCAACAATGTACAAGTATTCCTTTCCTCGCAGCCTCACCAGTGTTTAGTGGTACTTATTTATTTATTTTTATGATGGCCATTCTTTTAATTTGCATTTCTTAAATGGCCAGCTATGTTAAGCATTTCTTCATGTATTTATAGACCATGTGTACTTCTGTGAAGTGTCTGTTTTTTCACTTGCCCTTTTTAAGTTGGACCTCTTATTTGGGGGAGTATAATTTTTGGAGTTCTTTATATAGTCTAGATATTCATCCTCTGTAAAAGGAGTGGCTGGAAAAAAATTGCCCCATTCTTTCATTCTGTTGGTTGTTTCTTTTGCTCTGCAAAAGCTTTTTATTTGATGTAATTTCATTTGTTGATTCTGGGTACTTTTTCCTGTGCAACTGGGTTTTTGTTCTGAAAGTCCTTGCTTATGCCCATGACTTCAAATATTTTTACCTGTTTTATCTTCCAGCAGGGTAAGTGTTTCTGTTTTAACATTTAGTTGTTTGATGCATTTTGATTTTACTTTGGTGCATGATAGGAATTATGTGACTAGATTCAATCTTCTACATGTGGGTATCCAGTTTTCCCAACACCATTTATTTATTTTGGTACCAAGGATCGAACTTATGACCTGGTGCTTGACAGGCAGGCGCTTATGCCACTGAGCTAAATCCCCAGTGCCAACACCATTTATTAAAGAGGCTGTCTTTAGACATGCATGTTTTTAGCCCTTCTTTTTTCCCAGTGTGGTGCTGTTTCTATCACTATAGCTTTGCAATATAACTTGGAGTCCAGGATTGTGTGTTCTCTGTTTTTGCTTTTGTTACCCATGATCATTTTTGGTATTCCTGGTCTCTTCTAGTTCCATATGAATTTTAGGATTGTTTTCCCCAATTCTGTGAAAAATGCTGTTGGGATTTTGACTGGGGTTGTAGTTAAATCTGTGTATCAGTTTTGGAAATGTAACTATTTTGACTATATTGGTTTTGTCTAACAAGGGGACATCTTTCCATTTTCTAATGTTCTCCTTGATATCCTCCTTTAAGTACTGTAGTTTTCATTGTGGAGGTCTTTAACCTGTTCACAACAGGGCTGTATTCATACATCTTGCTCCTAGGCAGCTCTGATTTGAGTCCCATGATCTTATGTAAAATAGCTGCTTAATTAGTTCACACCAGTGGAAATAACTTCCTTAGGTTAATTCCTAAGTATTTAATTTGTCTTGGTGCTATGGTAAATGGTATTTTTTTCTTAATTTATTTCTGTTGGGTCATTATTAGTGTACAGCAGTGCTATTTATTTTTGTGTGTTATTTTGTATTCTGTGTGTACATTACTGAATTTGTTTATTCTTAGAATCTTTTGGTGGATTCTTTTGTTATTTCATGGAGAGCAGTGATGGGAAACCTATGGCATGTGTGTTGTTATTCATTTAAGACAAAATATGTTAGTGCATGAATTATTCTTTTTTCTAAATGAAAGCCTCAGTAATCAGGTTTAATTACAGTATTGACACTTGGAGATAATAAGTAAGGGGGTTAGGGGTAGTAGTGGGGGCACTTGTTTTTAAAAGGTTCCCTATCACTGGTCTAGTTGACCTATTTGTGATAATGGGATTGAGATCTCCCACTATAATTGTGTTTATGTTTATCTGGTCTTTTATGTGAAGGACTATATGTTTTATGAAGTTGCTTGTTGTATATATTTATGTTAATAATTAGTGTTTCTTCCTGATGAATTGTTCCTGATGAATATGTAGTGACCTTCCTTGCCTCTCTTGATCAGTTTTGGCTTGAAGTCCACTTTGCCTGAATGTAGTATAGCTACACCTGCTTTTGTTCAGGTTCCTACTGTATGTAATATTGTTTTCTATTCTTTAATTTTTAGTTTATGACTTTCTTTTTAGTAAATGTGATTTTTTTCATGGAGCGTATGGTTGGATTTTGTTTTTTGATCCTTTCTGCCAGTCTGTGTCTTTTGGTTGGAGAAATTGATTGGGGACTTGAGACCACTGACATGGACAGTTATTACTGGTATGTACTGAGTTATTGCTTTATTTTCATGTTGGCAATTCTCTGTCTTTCCCTTCATTTACCTGCTTGCTCTATCTGATAAATTCTTTGTGTTAGATCTTTTGTTGTTTTTAACTTCATCATCTCTTTCTAGGGTATCCTTGAGAATTTTGGGGGGTGCTGGCATAGGTTCTTTCTTTTTTTTATTGTCTGGGTCTCACTATATAGTTCAGGCTGGCCAACTCCCTGTGCAGTCCAGGCTAGCCTCAAACTAACAGAAATCCTTCTGCCTCAGCCTCCCAAGCCCTGAGACTATAGGTGTGCACCTCTATGCCCATTTCTTTACATGCTCTTTATCATTAAAATATCTTATTTCTCCACCAATTTTGAAAGATATCATCCTGGGTTGGAATTTTTTTTTTCTTTTAGAGCTTGAAATGTCACTCCAAGCCTTCCTAGCTTTTAAAGTTTATGTTGAGAAGTCTGCTGTAATTGTAATAGGTTTATCTTTATAAGTAATTCATTGATTTTGTCTAACTGCTTTTAAGATTCTCTTCTTGTTTTGGACTTCTGGGATTTTAGTATGATGTATTGTGGAGACTTTTCTGGTCATGGCTATTTGGGGTTTTATATGATTCACTTATCTGTGTGTTAAAATCTATTCCCTTATTTGAAAATTTTTCTACTGTGATTCCAGTAAACAAGTGTCTTTGAATGAGTTTTTTTCTAAGTTCTTCAGTCTTGGGATCCAGCCAGTCATGTTTTCTCCACAGGTCTTTAGCTTTACGGTCTATGCTTCAGAGGCTCCTCGACCTATTTTCCCCAGAGTGTGGCTACTGTTGAGATCAAGGTGTGTCCTTCTGCTCATTGATAGACGGGAGACATTATTAGCCTTTTGATCTCTGCTGGATGTAAGCCACAGGACAGAAGCCCAAGTGGACTGTTGGAATTGTGGAGTCTGGTTGCTCCCTTTTCTGCCCAGGTGTTGTCCATCCAGGATTGGGTTAGTTGGCTAGTCCTTGCCTTTTTTGCTCCATGCCGGGAGGAAACAAAACATAGAGGTATCTTGGAGTTGACAGATAATCATGCCATTACATCAAAGGGTGGCGTGGGGGTGCCACATGGTCCAGTGTGGGCCTGCTTGCAGGAGTTGGTGGAGGGCGGTGCCACACAGCCCCTTGATTTCTTTTGTTAGTGTTTTCGATTGCTTCAGCTCATCTCTGTGTCTGAGATCAGCCTGAGGTATAAACTTAGTCTCCAGTTCTTTTCTGAGCCTTTCCTTCAGCTGTGATTGCCCTCCTTATGTAATTATTGTTGAGTATCTTACTCTTTAATGTCTGGCTCACAACAGGGGAAAAGAGAGGAATGAATGTAGTATCAACAAAACTGTCTACTTAAATCCCCAAGAAGTGCCTTCTCTTGAATGGGAGTGTTTGAAATATGGGGAGGAATGTGACAACTATTACCAGCAAGGTACATAGGCCTTTGACCTATAGTGGCAGGAAGTGACTAGAGAGTGCAGACCTCTGATCTTTGGAGAACAAGATTCTTTTGCCTGTATTCATTCCTTCTAGTTGTGTGAAGGTTGTATGTGGGCCATGGATTAGGGCAGCAGCTAGGTACCTGCTAATGTGATAAGATCAGAACTGATAAGATTAACTTGCATTTTATAGTACAAGCTTTCAAATAGACCTTTCAAGCCTTTAATAGAACTCAGAATTTGAGTGCTTATAGCAAACATATTCTGCCAGTGATTACTGAGCAGTTGGAGAGTAGGGTCCTTGAGGCTCCCAGAATTATCTCCTGTCATTTGTTGTTTAGCTCTTGTAATTGATTGACAATATACAGACTTTGTCCATCAACAGGTGAATGGATAAAGAAGATACAGTATGTACACTCAAAGACCTATTGCTGTGCCATAAAAAAAATAAATGAGTCATTTCTGGAAAGGTAGATGCACCTTGAGATCATCATGTTGAGGTGGATAAGTCAGACACACACGCTTAGGTATCACACGGTTTCTCCAAGGAGAGAAACTCAGAATATAAATGAAGAGCAAAATAGAAACTGGATGCTGGGAGTTAGGGAGCAAGATCTTTCTCAAAGGGACACGGTATCAGGAGATGGAGGGAGGGAGGGAAAGGAGACGAAAAAGGAATCAAGGTGAATCATGTCCACGTACCAACTCCACACAAGAGATTAGCATTATGCCCTGAAAACATGCACAAAAAAGAATAAAAGAGGACAGAAGGATGGGTGGAGGGAGGGAGGGGTGGAAGAGAAAGGAAAAAGGGAATTAAGATGTACTATGTACCTGTGCAATTCCCCACAAGGAAGGTAAACATTATGGCTACAAACATAATAAACAGTAGGGGAAACATTTAAAGAAATGAAACAGGTGTTTCTCTAATACATTAAAGATCAAAGAAATTAACTGAAAAAAATATTTTATGAAATTTTGTTCACTATAAACAGATTGACTATCCAGCACACTTAAAATACTAACATAGCAATGAAATAAAGTTTGAATTAGTCAAGTATAAATATCCTATATAACGTGTTGGTAGATGTTACTATTTTAGTGTATTTTGGTCTATGGTCTGGAAAATTACAAATAAGGAAAGTCTTTATTTTGGGTTTGCTTTTCTTATAAGTTTCTGCATCAGTGAAAGACGCCTGCAGCCACTTGGCACTTTATTTCCCGTTACAGCTCGTCACAGCCACCCTAGATGGGAAACTCCAGCTGTTCTTGCCTGAGTGACTGTTGGCCGGAGGCACCAGGAGAGAGGGTGCAGCATAGTGGGAACACAGAGCCTCAGCACCTCACTGCGGAGACTGGTGTGGGCTTGCTGTTGGAGTCCCTTTCCACAAGGCCTTCTGCCCAGTGTGCACCCCACTAACTTGATGGCTGGCTGAGTGTCCCCATCCCTTGAGGGTCCCTCCTTGAACAGCGGGAATGGCTCCTAGTGCTTTTGCACAGACTGAAGTTAAAGCAGAATATTCTTCAATAAAAAATAAAGTAGCGTTTGTTTCGTCATTGGAGTTTGAAGAGGAGGGAGGAAAAAAGAAAAGTAGGGAGAGAGAGAAAGAAGAGAGAAGTAGAAAGGGAGGGAAATATTGAGGGAGGGAGGGAGACAGAGAGGAGAGAGAGAGAGAGAATACATGAATACATTTAGGCCTGCTGCATGTGCTGTGCTCTCCTTGGGGAGCTGCGGCCATCCCAGTGGACATCACAGTGCACATCCTGGCTCCCAGACTTTGCTGCTGTGATTGATGACCCGGCCACCTGATGCTGAGTCCTCCCAACCGCCTGGACAGGTGCCTCAGATCCCAGCGGTGTTTTTAGGACTCCACTAACATCCCAGAGCCAAATCCTTACGGTATCTTAAAAGACTCGGGATACTTCCGGGACATCCTCAGTTCCAAGGCCGCAGCGATATGCAGGGGGAGGGCTCCTAAGCCCTGCTAAAGGGTCCAGACCTCCTACAATCCTGCCCTTCCATGAAACGGGGTGGGGAGTGAGCCACCTGAAGGGCAGCTGAGCTCCACCTGTGCGATTTTCTCAAGGAAAAGAGATTAACTACCTCCCAATAACCTCCTGGGGGCTCCTGGAGCCTTTACAGGAATTTTCTCACACTGAACATGCATATGAGTAAATCCTTGTGCCATTTTTGAGAAATAAATGTAGAATGACTATAATTTCTATAGCGCAGTTATTTAAATATGTTTATGCATTTATTTTCAATACAGGGGCTGGGGATTTAGCTCAGCGGCATAAGCACCTGCCTTGCAAGCAGGCAGTCGTGAGTTCGATCCCTGGTACCGATAAAAAATGAAAAAAAAAAAAAAGATATTTTCAATACAAAGTTTTGCTTTGTGAAAGTGAAATTCATATAAAACAAGTTAATATAGGAATGCAGTTTAGGGCAAGGAAGGTTATAGAATTGTGTTTAATATTTTAAATTTTGGGGCTATTGTTTAAAACTATTTTAAACTGTGATAAAATATATGTGCCATGAAATTTACCATTTTAATTGTTTTTAATGGTACAAATCAGTAATGCCGTGGCTTACGGATGAGGTCCAGGATGAGGCTATGGGGTGAGACTGCACCATGGCTGTGTGACCCTGAGTCCTGCCACTGGCTGGTGTGGGGATGACCGGCCTACTGAGATGGAGGACCCACCCTGGGCGTGGGGGGCACCAACCCAGCGGCTTGCAGCCTGGATGAATGAAAAGGGGCAGAAGCAGGGAACCACACTGCTTCCTTCCTGCCGTGCCCTGAACTTTCTCTCCTCTGCCATACCGCCCTGCAGAGCCAGCCAGCTATGGACTGAATCTTTTACAAACTGTGAACTACGATCAACCTTTCTACCTTTAACTTGTGGGTGTCGGATATTTTGTTCCAGCCATAAGAAAGTTAAGACGAGTAGTGTGAAACGTATTTACGTTATTACAAAAATGTTACCACGTTCATCTCTGAAAGTTTTTCAGTTTTCAAATTGAGAATCAGTACTCATTAAAATGCTGACTCTCTTCTATTCAGCTCTTACCCCAGCCACTAGCAGCAACCATGGTACTTCTGTGTCTATAGATTTACCTACTCTATGGATCTGGTTGGTGTTCAGGGAAATCACATAGGTCTTGTCCTTTGCACCCACCTTGTGTCACCAAGTACAATGTCTTCATTGTTCATCTGTGTCATAGCATGTTGCAGACTTTCCTTTCTTCCTATTGCTGAGCAATAGTCCACTACATTTGCTTACACATCCACCCACTGGTGGATCTTTGGACTGCTTCGGCCTTTTGGTGGCTGTGGACAGGATTTGCAGTTGTGTCCTCAGACTCTGGATTTGACTCTTGGGTGTGTGGTCAGGCATGTGGTTGCTGGAGGTGTGATAATTCTATTCTTCACATCTCGGAGAGAACCATGATGTTTTTCACGGTGACAGCACAATTTTGCATTCCCACAGAAGCACACAAACATTCTGTCACTTTTAATATGCCCAGTTTTATCTTTGGCTTTCAGAGGAAATACTGCTTTCTGATTTTTGCATATGCTTTTTTGGTTTTGTGTAAGTTTTCTCCAAAGTGGACCATCATTCCAAATACGCCAAATTGACTCTATGAAAAAAAAAATCTAAATAATAATTAGTGACTGAATGGTATATTAAGAAAAACTTGAATATAAAAAATTTCATTATAGAGTTTGAAGGGAAAACAGGACATAATAAACTTAGAAGAACAGCTGCTAAGAGTCATGTGAGTTCCACACAGGGTATGCCCATGAGGACTTGTTGTGACAGCCATGGCCAAGAGGGCAGAGGGCAAAGGAAGTGGGGAGCCCTGCCTGTGGACCCCAAAGGTTCCTGCTGGATCAGACTTGTGATCTTTAGGGCAGAGTAGGTGTGGCTGCTGTTGGCTCCCTTAGAACTGTCTCTTGATGCTTTGGTTTTACAGTTTTATAAGATATTTTATGCACTGACCATGTATAGTCATATGAATGTGTTTGCTGGTACCTTCTCCAGAGAGAATAGTAAAAACAACATAATTACATAGACTTGATCAAAATAACAGCACAATTACATAGATTTGATTCTACTTTGTCACCTCTTTCACAATAGCCTGAGAAGTTTGATAGGCTTTATTATTAATGTTATCTTCACTGACCAGATACTTGGCAAAAGCCTGGCCATAGAAGGAGAGGTGCTGTGATTCATCTGGGAAGGCCTCCACTGTAGCTCAGCATCCTAGACCCAACCAGACTGGGAGGAGGTCTCTTCCTAGGGCTTAGAGGAAGGCACATTCCAACTGGACGTCATCAGGGCAGGGACAAACTCCAGGAGGCTGATTTCTCAGGACTTCAGGTGGCCAGAGAGGGGTAGATCTGGATGTGAACCAGGTCACCTTGCAGCTGTGGCTTTCTGCTTCATGAAGGTCACCCACAGCAGTAGACACAGGAACATAAGAGGCCATGACCAACTGCCACCCACTTTGACCACCACACTGTCCCCTCTACACTGAGTCCGATTCTGCTGGGAAGAAGAGGAATGAGCCACAGTTCAGTCTCAGCCTCTCAGTCTCTAGCTGTTAAGGATATTTTTGATATTTGAGTAGCAGTGTGATTCATGTTCTGTGGCATGTGCCATGGGCTTGCACAATGTTGACACATCTGTATTTTTCTAGACATCAAAGCAAGAATGTGATTGTGGTCCCGGGCCTGGCCACAGAGGGGTGGTCTAAGACTTCTGGAATAAAGAATTTCTTTTATTTTTGACATTTCAAGTCAAAAGCATTCTCTGCAGATGTGGGAACTTACTCTTTCTCCCTAGCTTCGGAGAATCAACTTCTCATTCTCAGCCTAGTAGAGGGGAGTACCTGGGTGCTTCCCCTGAGGCTGGGATAGCTTCCTTGTGACTGGTGGCCTGATGGTAGGAGAATCCAAGTGAAAGGAGAGGCATTGGCACCCGAGATCCTACATATACGGCCAGCAAGTAAAAACTTGCCAAAACTCTTATGCAAACACCCAGTGGATCTTTGTGGGCATGTGATTATACTGAATCATTTAAAATGACCAATATTCAACTGTTTGTGACTAGAAGAAGGAGCAGTTTCATGTGATTCTTCTGAGTATTTTTTTTCATAAAAAGGAATGGGAACCCTGCTCTGTAAATTGCATTTCTGATCACTGAGACAAAATACCCAACACTCAAAGGAGAAAAGGTTTATTTAGCTTACAGTTTGCAGAGGTTTTAGTCCATAATTGGCTTGCTCCAAGGCTGGGTGACACATGTCAGAGGGATAACAGTCCATAGCAGCAGAAGACATTAAAAGAGAGAGAGAGAGAGAGAGAGAGAGAGAGAGAGAGAGAGAGAGAGACAAGCTTCTTTTTGTCCTTTATTTTGTATCCAGTCAACCAGGATTAGGGTGGTGCTAGTCCAGTCAGTGGACTGATTCACTAATACCCACCCTTAATCCCAGCACTGCACTAGGAATTAATCGCACACACTAGATTTAGCCACTTCAGAAAAACTCTGACTGCATGAGGCTTTGGGGGGACATCTAGATACAAACCATAACACCTATCTCTCTCCCTCTTTCCTTCTCACTTCTCTTCTTTTACACCAAGCCTTTCTTAGGGATGATTTGCATCAGTTCCTTGTTCTGTAAGTGCCTACTCCAATACTGACTTTGCCACATGAGGCTTTGTAGTACTCTGAGCTCTCTGTTGCTTCAGCACCAATGAGATGGACTCCAAAATCTAGAATCTAGAATGTGTTACTGATTCCTAGTGCAGTGCTGGGATTAAAGATGTGTTATTAGTAAATCAGTCTGCAGGTTGGACTGATACCACCTAATCCCAATAGACTAGATACAATATAAGGGACAGAAAGAGGCTGTCTTTATTGTGCTCTTGTTGCTTTTGCTGTCTTCTGCTACATGAGGTTGCCCTCTGTCACCCTGCCTTGGAGCCAGGCAGTTATGGACTATACCATTGCACATCATGGAGGATATACCGTAGAGATGGGTCATGAAAGCACTGCACACTAGGGAGATGGACCAGAAGAGTACATGACACATTTTGGGAGCTCTCCCAATGACCTTCAGGCAAGAGGACCGCATGATGAGGGGCTGGCCCAGTTGCTGTGGACCTGGGACAGGATTGTCAGGTATGCATTTCCAGAATGTTCACCTTTGATCCACATTTGGTGTCATACCTGTTATACCGTGTGTCAGAAAACTACCACTTACTCCATTCCTTTCTTTTACCTCAACATATTGCAATGTATAATTTCTTAAGAATTCCCCTGGAATTTATACCAAATCTTTGGATATATCATGGCAAGCAAAACATTTGAAATCAACTCTTTCAAGAATGGGGAGCAGAGGAGAAATGGCAATGAGTAGCTTTTCTCCATGGACATTCATGAATTTCAGAATGTAGTGATCTATGCAAAATGCAGTGACCTTGAATGTCTGACCTGTGATAAGTATCATGTAGTCTAACGTCTAGATAGCACCAAA